CCCCCACCACCACCACCAACCCCAAGCTCCAAGCTCCAAGCTCCAAGCTCCCTAGGAGGGTCTTCTTCATACCCGAAGGGATACATAAGATTGCTGCAGTTTCATCCTGCAATTCACGGTATGATTGTATTTGTTAGCTTAACACATTGATTTTTGAATTTTTCCCCAAAAATTAGGGTTCTAATTTCGTTTGTCATTTTCCACTTTTCAATGTAAGTGAACCCATTTAGAGATTTTGGAACTTTTCTATGTGTTTTGAGGATTAGAATGTGATAAATGATGGCTTGTCAGTGATGGAATGACTCAAAGTTTGGATTTTGTGCCCTAATATTCTTCCTTAATTCAACCATTAAGTTGTCTTGTGCTACTGTTTTGTATAAGAAAAAGAAACTTCTTTAGAACTGGAGTAGTATAAAAGCAGAATGAAAAGGAAGTTCTTTTTTTGCTTCAAAAAATGAAAACTAAGCTATTGTATGTAATACATAAACCTCTAGGAAAAGTATATGGATCCTGGTCCTTACACCATGACCACATCATAAATACAGTAGATGTGTCTTTTTTTTTTCCTTCCTTCAGAAAAGGGCCAAATATGCCCTTTAAAGTATTCGAAATTGAACATATATGTCTTTTGTAAATTGTTTAGCTCACACATGCCCTAACCATTCAAGAGTTGGTCTAACTATATCCTTAATTTAACTTGGGCCCTAATTATCTAATTAGGTGATTAATAAGAGGAAAAGGGCCAAATGTGCCCTTACATATACAAAATCAAGCAGATGTATCCTTTGTTAACAGTTAAACATTTCTTTTCTATTAGTGTTTATGTAACAACCAAAACCAAGCACCAATGTCTAAGTTAATATTTTTTTTCAACGTACTGATGATGTAAACAATGTATTGATGTAAGGAAGTTCATATCTTCGGCGATAAAAATTGTAATTTATAAATAATTTTGTTCGTCAATTTCCTGAGTTTTTTTACAATCGATTCACGTATTCTCTACACTACACTTGTGTCCTAAATTAAGAACAAAATAATTTCTATCATGTAATCATAAAAATAAAAAGTAGTGGAGCTTGTGTTAAGAGTATCTTTCATGTGTATTATTACGAAAGACATATTTTTTCAGTTTCATTACTTTAAGGACAGATTTGGCCCCTTTTTGCTTATTAATCAACTAATTAGGTTAATTGAAGGCATATTTGAACCAAATATTGAACGGTAAGGGCATGTGTTTGGGCATATTTGCTTAATTTCGAATACTTTAATGACATATTTGGATTTTTTCCGTTTTTTCTAAGCTTTACTTTTAATCTAATAATGGTTAAATAAGATGTGTTTTGCACATGATATTAACTATTTTTTTTTACTTCCTCCGTTATCGTGTACTAGTCCAATTTGCATTTTGCACTCCATTTAAAAAAAGTTAATCAAGTGTTTGTTTTACTAAATTATCCATATAAATGGTACTTTAGAAATCTAAATTTGACTTGTACTCCAATTAGTTTTGGATTTAGTCACTTAGTGATTGGGGTAAAATTGGATAAAATAATTAATTCTCTCGCGATTTTCTAAAGTGGACATGTAAAGGTAAAATCTAGTTTTAGTATTCTGGACAAGTAAAGGGAATGTTGGGAGTAATATCCACTTATTTTTATACCCATGATCCATGTAAATATAGTAGTATTACATATCCGTCATAAAATATGCTAAACAATAATTTAAGATATTAGAATAAAACGCTTTAAAAGTCATAGCAATGGTTCATCATCTCAGAAAGAAAACTAATGAATAAACTAACCCGCCTTAATTTGTGAATAAGATTTTTTAGTTGAATTGACTAATTTTGTGTAAAACACCAGGTGCCGGTGCAGGTAAATATTTTGCTAACTCTTGAACTTGGTGAGCTGTGTACTAGAATTCTCACTTGGTAACATGTTTATAGAAGTGGAACACAAAAGAAACTGGCTGAATAATTGAATGTTTTCTTTCCTCTATTCTTCTGCTCGGAAAATGATAGATTTAGGGAAGTTAAATGCATTTCTATTCTTCTGCTCGGAAAATGAAAGATTTAGGGAAGTTAAATGCATACATATTGTATCAGTTGAATGAATAAAAATGATTTTGTTTTCTTTTTTTTCCTTGTGTTTTTCTTTTTTTCAGAAACTGGTAGAGTCTGAGGGATTCCCTGTGTAATGAACATCTTGTTTAATGCATGTTCTGCTGCAATTTTTACAAGGACTAGCAGACGTGCTGTGAAGAGTTCAATTGGTGCATTTTCAGCTCTTTCATGGAAGACAGGTGTTGGATTTACTGCAACCAGAAAAGTTGATTTCGACTTATTTTTTAAGCAAATTTGCGTTCGTTGCTATTCATCCAAAAAGTTTAGAGTGGAGAGTTCTAGCTCACAGAAGTCCGATCTTACTCCACAAATGAAGGAAGATAGAGATGGTTTCTTTGTTGTTAGGAAAGGAAATCTGGTTGGAGTCTACAAAAACTTGAGTGATTGTCAAACTCAAGTCGGATCCTCGGTAACCACTATTATCTCTCTCATTTATTGATCTTATTGAATGTTTCAATTGTTCTTGGAGGATAGTTAATTTGCAAAGTATACATATAAATACACTGCTATAGTAAAGCTACTTGTTCTTTCTTTCTGTGCTAGAACCTAGTTTATCCATAATTAATCTATATTATTTACCTAAACTTTAGCCAAGTGTATTTGGACAACTTCGATAACAGTCTAGGAAATCCATCGTGAGTGTATGTCAATTAATCAGATGTCTCCAGGACGACATTCTTTGGTCCAATTACTGTTGTTAACCAATGTCTTTCAAGTATCAAAGGAATCACGAAAAGATAGTTTAAGTGAGTTGAGTGTATATCCTTTTAGTGGTGATTCTTTCTCCTTTTACTTCTACAACCCCTTCTCTCTATCTTTGTTTCTCTTTGTCTCTCACTTCCTCTCTGCATCATGGGATAGTTTACAATTTATTTTTTCACATTCTGTAGATATGCTTTTTTTCCGTACTGTTATTATCTTCATCTGCCTGTTATCAGATGTCATCCTTTTTTCTCCTGAATAGTTGTCAACTGGCGTCTTTGAGATAATTTTGTATGGATTGATTGAACTTTACAGCCTTTACATGATGCTTGTGAGATTTTTCTCCCGTTGAAGATGTTCACTTGCAATGAGCTAATCAGTGGTTTTCTGCTGCTCCCTTTTCCTGACAGATATGTGACCCCCCTGTAAGTGTGTATAAAGGCTATGCTATGCCTAAGGACACAGAGGAATATCTTCTCTCTTGTGGGCTTAAAAATGCTCTTTACTCTATCAGGGCTGCTGATCTTACTGAAGATCTCTTTGGGACCCTAGTACCATGCCCTTTTCAGGTAAGCCAATATGTGTAATTCCGGAGATCTACTACTTATTTTTAGTGGTTTAAGTATTCATTTTATGAGGTTTTCACCTAGGTGGGCGATAATGCCAATCTGATCTAAACTTGAACTAATGAATTCTGTTGTGAGGTTGATGTGAAACAGATCTTAATCTGCAAGTTTCCTTGACAAAGCTACTTGATTTTAGGAAATTTCCTTTCCACTTGATTATTCAGATCATCCCATACAATCCTAAATGAATGCTGGAATTCACTTATTTTATTTTTTTTGACGACAAGGGAAACCCGCAGCCGCTACCCTTTGGGTGCGCACAGGGTAAAACCCCCGCTCCTATGCAATAGCTCGCAAACCACATAGGAGAGGTAACCCGCACTAGGCAAGCCCGGTGCGACGAGCTCGACCCAGAAGGCAAACCCCTTGCTTTCGCTGGCAAGGGGTTTCGAACTTGAGACCTCCAACATGGAAGTCCCAA